CGTAGAGCCCGACGGAATCCGTCAAATTCGTTTTTTTCATTTGTATATAGCTGCTTATGTACATATGAAACAATAGGACCCAGGTAGTAGCAAAAAGAAATTAAAAAAAGCAAACACGTGAATAAGATGGATTCATAGTAGTACCCCTCTTTTGAACAGAATTCTGGGGTGGGGGGTATTACGTCCTTCAGCGGCACCAAGCTTTTAACTACGGAAGCATAGGTCTGTCTGGCGCAGAGGGAAGTGTCTTACGCAGTGCTGAAGTGGAAGTGACGGCGGAAGAGGATCGGGGGGACTCCGGGGATGAGGAGGAGGTAATGGAAGAGGTTCATGACAGTGATTCAACGGGGCCAGAGGTAGGAGGGGAACAGGCTGTTCCAGCTTTTGCTGTGGAAGGAGACGAAAACGTCTTGCAACCTGAAGCCCCATTGGATCAATCGCCGGTGCAGCCTTGGGCACGGCGAGGTTGCAAGCGTCCTCAATCCACAGCTGCTGTGTTATGTGTGCAACAGCGGAGAGAATTCGAGGAAAGACGTACACGCATTCAGCAGAACAATGTATCGGAGAAGACCAGAGAGATGTATATGAACTACATGATACGCTTCATAGAATGGTTGTACGCGAATGACGAGTATTATGCTCTCATAACTGATGAATTCAAAACGAACATGCGTGAAGAACGTGACAAATTCTTGAACGGATCAGATCAGGTGACAGAGCCGGCGACGACGGACGAGAGTTTACCAACTACAACTTACATGAAGAGAGTATAATGTTACAGAAGCAAATTAATCCCACCCACTTTGAAAAATTCACGCCAGTGATGTTTCTTGACTGGGTGACCCATAAAGTTCAACAAAATCCAGAACTAACATTCCAAACATGCTCGTCGTACAAGATGCACATGCTCAAGAATTACGGGGTTACACTGAGCATCGAGGCGGTGAAAACATTGAGCAGTGACTTCAGAGGATTGAAGCGAACGTTGAATCTTTCTCAATCTTGCAATCAAGATGCAAAAGTGACAACCGGCAATGTACCATTGTCATACGATTTGTACTCAGTGTTCGCCAAGGTTATGCTACAGAAACCAGAAAGAGAATATGTTTGGGCCAGGACCTTTTTGATTCTGGCTTGGAATTTGATGTCCAGATCCAGAAACGTATGCACACTGTTGTACAATCACATGGAATTCGTCGGGGATGCCTTGCGCTTCTACGTAATTCACGCAAAAAATGATCAGGCTGGTGAGAAACCGCGGGATCCAAAGCAT